AAAGACCAATGACCTGGCCTCATATTAAGGCCAGATTTATGTATTGTGAACACTCCTAACCAAAGCTGGCTAAGCCAACATGTAGCTTAATCTGTGCTTAATTCCACATATTCCTGGAGCGTTGTTTGAAGATGGTTTAATGTCTTGGAGGAACCAGCTCATTTCATTTTATTCAACAACTCCTAGTTTAGAACAAGAGAGTTTAGTAATCTCCTGCAAACACAACCTTTGCACATGAACTTGGGCATATACACTGAAGGATTTCACTTTTAACTCAGGGAGGGGCTGGTCTCCTGAAAAATAGGTTCTCCCCCCCCCCCCATTTCCCATCTTCTTCCAGCCTTCCTCTAGACTCTAAGACTTTCATGGGTCACATTTGGTGACTTTCTGCTTATTTTTCTGCTGTCGGGAAAAATGCCACAGAACAGGGGCTGAGTCCTTCTCCCATTAATCAAAACTAGCAAGCTTTCTGTAGGGAGACACAAAATCTCTATATGTTTTCTCCCATATTGCTCAAGCAAGGTCAGCAGGAGGCCGGGGCAGGAGGGGGGGGGGGTAGAGGCCTGGCCCAACGAACCCCTCTACCTCCAGTTAGATTAACATTTTATTCAGAAGCCTATTTATCAAAGTCAAGAGCGCAGCATAAAGTGGCACCAGAAGGAAAAAATGTCTGAGTAGTTAAGACTATCACTTTGTTTCTGTCCTTCCAACTTCTCTGGCTTAACTTTGTCCCAGTTTGCTAACCCTCAGCCCCACAACTTGGTGGGTTATATTGGACTGTGACTACCAATCCTAGGGCATTCTGGATATTAAATATGAAGGGAATGGAGTGAAATAGCTGAGCCCCAATGCCAAAGTAAGCTGGGGTGGAGTGGTCTTACAAAGGTGCTTTGATTTAAATTTAGAGTAGAACTGAACCTTTTAGGAGAGATGTTTGGAAAAAGTTCTGAGGCTGTTTTTCCCTTCTTTCTGCTCCTCCCCCAAAACGGGAGAAAAGAAAACCAGTTGGTCAAATGTTCTTCATCACATTTGTGGCATCTACAATTTTTCCACCCTTAAAGTCTTCTGGAAGAGCCTTTCACCAACTTGATGTCCTCCAATACATAGGACATAGGTTCCTGTCATTTTCATCCCACTTAATCTAGATCTGGAAGGAGGGAAAAAAACTTGTAGATTATACACACACTTTCCCCCGAATCTTAAGAGGGAAAGATGGGGGGACAATCTTCACCAAAATCTTAAGAGGGGAAAATATTCTGCAAAGTGTCTGGCAAAATGTTTCCCCATCTTGCTGCTGTCTTCTCTTAGCTCATCAACCAGCTAATTCCCAAGATGCAGCCATTGACATTCCTTGACCTCTTGCAGGAAAATCCTGGGTCTATAATAAACCAAACAGCCTGGTTGGCTTTTAAATCAGCAAAAGCAAGCAATTAGAACAACTCCTGGGGAAGAATCAAGAAATGCAATAAGAGAAACCCAGAGAAAAGAAGAAATGGCATAATGGGGATCCTGCAGTGCTATCCACCCCTTAAGTGTCTATTTTGGTCTCTTGGGAGGATCTGCAGGATCTTCCAATGAAGCCCAATACCAAGAATTTCAGGACAGAAACAAGATGGGCCTTCTTCACACAACACCTCATTTACCCATGGCACAAGATGTTGTGATGACCCCTAGTTTAGACCTCTTTTGAAAAGGATGAGACCCATTCAGAGAAGGCTATTAAGTCTGCTAGCTGTGAAGGTCATCATGCTTTTAGTTGCTGAGAAACCACAAAAGAAAGTTATTCTGACCCCGTCTTACATATTAAAACTAATACCTAAAGTCTTGGGTACTGTTATGTCAAACTTGTCCTGTGTTTAACCTGGAGCAAATGAAAGAGGACCACACCACACTTGATTTCTCCCGTGATGTCCCCAAAGGGCAACCCAATCTCATCTCCTTCCCTCCCTCCAAGGTGGGTGGGTTTCAGTTGAACCTTGGGGAAAGCCATCTTAATGGTCACCGCATCACCACAACCATTTGGCAGGGCTTCTCCACCACAGCATTTCCTGTATCCAATCAAGGTTGGACACAGTAGTCTCCAGAACTTATTCTGATTCCATAAGTTCCATAATTTCCCAATTAGCATCCATTGCTAATGCATCATGCAGGCAGGCCCATCTATTAAGTAACGTGTCTACTCAAGCAACAGATATGTAGGGTTTGTAACAAGGTAGCAAATTATGTGTTACTATACATTTTCACACTCTTTGTGAAAGCAGCAGCAGCCTGTATGGGTAGCTTCCAGATACCAAACTAAATGAGTTGGCTATAAGCTATGACTGGCAGTGAGGGATAAGGCGGCCTATTATGTACTGTCAGGCCAACCTATTAGAAAAGGTTTTAGTTTTGGATGTGGAAACATTGATGGCATGGAAAGAAACTGTTTTGAAGGGTTTTCACTAATAATAAATTTTGTCTTGTTAGCAATACAGGAGGAGGCACAATTCAGTTGCTGATGGATGTTAACCAGTCATGGGGGATTGGGGGGAGAGTTCCTTATTTCTACTATTGATCTATTATAGGCTATATATTATAGCTTTTTTAAAAAAAGAAAACATTTTATTATAAAACTGTGCCCAGTGATAGTTGCTCTATTGTATTCCTTAATGACATCGAGAAGTTTTATCATTCTTCTTCTCTGTCTGCAGGTCAAATGCAGGCTGTGGTTCATAAAATACAAAAATTATCCTGAGAAAGGTAGAAAACAAACCCCAGGAACATTCCTCCCTTGCACAGGCTGGTTTTTGTACAAAATCGAGGTTGGCATGAGACAACAGAGCCATTGTCTCAGAAATAAAATCTCCTTTCTTCTCTGGCCTTGATCAATAGAAAGAAATTAACATCTGCCCTGGGAGGGAAGCACCCATTTGCTAAGCCAGGAAAGCCAGGAAAATAAAGTGCCATGAAGTTTGAGCACCCCCTTCTGGGGACAGAGAAAACATTCCACTTTTCTGGAACTGAGATTTAAAAGTTTTTGTTTTTTTAAAAAAAAAAAATCAAAACTCGGTGAAAAAGGAGCAAAGCAAGAGAAATTAAGCAATGCAAATGGAGAGCCTAAAAAATGGAATGTGTTTGCTTTCGAAAACGGCCTGGATAAAATCAGTCGTAAGCAGGTGTATTGGGGGGAAAGCAAAAAGCTTTTGGATAGAAAGGGAGATGTGATCGTTGGGTCCATTCAGAAGGTCTCAAAAGTCAGGCACCATCATTTTCAGATAGGGTTGAATGCTAAAGAGAAATTTGTAGGGGGGAGAGATGGGCTTGGGAGGTAGAATTGATGAAGAACAGTGCCAAACGCTTTTTCTTCACGTACTTACACAACAGTAAAACTATTCCATTTTTTTTTTCTCCCGCTCCTAAATGCATCTTAAACTTCTTCAGAGCCTGAACACACTGAGAGTTGGAGGGGGGTTCTTTTTGGCTATGGAGCACTCTGCCCTAATGAGAATCTGTAGATACGTACAATGATCTGCCCTCCACCCACGTGGGGTAAGATAAAGAAGCTGAAAAGGGTGAATGGAGAAAGAAGAGGGGAAAAGTGAATGGCCA